CGGGGGGCCTTGGAGGGGACGGCCAGGTACAACATGGAACTGCAGTTACGTTAAGGTGTGAGCCCAGGTCCAGCTTAAGACACTCCCTTCTGTCCTTATCTTTGAAACAGCTTCTTCAGATACCTTCCTTGCAGCGAGAGAGCCGAAGGGGGACAGCAGCCCCCACATGGCAGCGCCACTGCTGAGGACCAGCCCTTCTCAGAGCGACACTTAACCCTGCCTGCTGCTGCCTGTGGCCATTTTATCTGTCACTTAGCGCGTCTGTCTGCTCCGCAGGGTTGCTGCCAAAGAGAAACTGCTAAAGTCACAAAACAGGAATGAGTTTTGCAGCATTAAACGGAGCTCTCCCAGAGAGCCACCCCCAGGGAGAGCCCCAGCCTCAGCACGGAGGCCAGGCTGGCACCGATGAGGGCTCTAGACGGAGGCGGCATCCCCAAGGAAGGGACGTTGTGACAAAGCTCAGAGCAGCAGGGCCAGGGGACGGTGCTGCCAGGAGCCACCCGGCAAGAGGCCTACGGAGCCCTGAAGGCTCCAGGAGGAGGTGACGGTCCCTGGAATTCCTTCTTAGGAAACAGTCACAACTGAGGGGCAGGGCACAAATTCCCCACCCCACACACTCAATTCCATCTATTTCGCTATGTTACACATGAAAAACAGTCTCTTCACCCCAGGTCCCAGCAGCCCGAGGTCAGGGCAGAGCCTTGGTCAGCACCAGGAGAGCAGGACACCCTCCCCGCTCCGTGTCCGTGAGCGGCGCATCCAGCCTTGCCAGGTGCCTGGCAGCCACAGAGGGGCAAATGCGAGAGGCGCTGCAGCAACGAGGCAGAATACCTGCAAAAACGACAACAAACAGAATAAAGGTTAGGAAACATACATGGCGTGTTACAACTTCGAAGAAAACACATTTGTTAGGTAGAAAATTCATTTGAAACTACAGTTGTTTTGTGTTTGTACAAAAAGGAACTGACCTGGGAGCTGTCCCTCTCCTGCTCCCCGGAGGCAGCCGGCGGCTCCATCCGTACCAGGGCCGGCCCCATGTCCAGTCACCATCCTGGGCTGCAGCATCTCACCTGGAACCACTGTAAAGAGCAAAAGCAGGATTTTAATTTAAAAAAGTCGCAGCCTTAACTGTGACATTTACTTGAGCATGAGCAATTACAGGCACATGCTAGCAAAAATACCGTAAAGTAGAAGATATGAACAGGAAAGGGATTGTTAGAAGAAAAACTCCAAGGCCACAACCTCCTCGGCCACCCGCACCCACCCACGTCCGAGACCCTGGGGTCTCTCCCGGGTTTTTGGGGTCCCATCCACATCCCGCCCAGCCAAAGCCCCACTGGTGCCCGGGCCCAGGACGAGGAGCCGCCTGCCCCAGGGCTCCCTGTGCCCAGAGCAGGTTCCCCCCCACTGCCCGGGGATCCGGGATCCGGCAGGCTCCCGAGCGAGCGGGACCGGGTGTTCTAGACCCCCCCGCACCTGCCCGGAGGAGCCCAACGCGGCGGCGCTGCCGGGCACGAGGCCCCATTCCGGGCTGGAATCACCCCCCTTCCTCGCAGGCAGCAGCGGCCCCCAGGTGGCCCCAAACCCACCTGGCAAAATGTCCTACCAAGGCCTGGAGAGCAGCTCCGGGTGGCTCTGCAGCAGCTTTTTGGTCAACAAAACAACGTAACTGGAACCGCTTGGGTTTGGGGTTTGCTTGTTGTTGTTGTTGTTTTAAATTCCACATTTTAACAGACTTTCGGGTACAACAAAGCCAACGCACAAAGTCGACCAGTCACAACAGTAAAGGACAAATTTCTTTTTCTTTTTTCCTTTTTTTTTTCTTTCTTTTTTTTTTTTTTTAAGGGGCAGGGGCATGGAAAAATACAGCACACTAATGAAACAAAATGCAAAAAAAATACAAAAAAATAGAAAATAGAAAAAATGTATTTACAAGTGATACATTACTATGATCAGAAGCACAAAGACACTTGCTGCTATAATACATGCACTGGGTCAAGAAGGAACTACCAAAAACCTGCAAGGGAGCTCTTCGGGGGAAAAAAGGGGAAAAAAGAACCAAAAAAGGACACCCGCTTCCCTCCCCCCTCAAATAAACAGGGTTGGATTTCAACTTTTTTTTCTTCCAGAGTTTGCTACATTGATCAAAATCAAACACCCCCTAAAGTCAATGAATACAATTGGTACAAGTACTACACTGGTTCTGGAACTGCAGGTTCAGTTTTAGGATGGGGGAGGAAAGAAAACAGCAGCTCATTGTAAATTCATATACAAGAAAGCCAGAGTAAACTGCTCTACATGCTAAAAATTACAGCAAGCCCCTGTCTGCTACATAGCATGATCTTAGCAGGTTTTCCTTTTTATTTATTCATATATATATCTATATGTGTGTATATATATATGTATAAAAATCGTGCCCTTTTTCACTGCAACATGACATCTGGGTGGAAATTACAACAAATTTTTATATGTATACTGCAAGGAGTCACTCAATGTCTGTGGATTTAATAAGTAACCTCACACCACAGGAAATATTTAATAAATCAAAAACAAACAAACAAAAAAAAATTGTGACAGATGAGATTCTGTCTCAGTTCTTTTCAAAACCGAAGTCCAACAGGAAACTGGTCCCAATGCACAGGAGGGGTTCTCTGAAGAAGCTTCAGTTTCTTAATTGTTTTTTCTTTTAGTGTTCACAACTCTCTGAACGACTTCAAGCCGTTCTCAGTTTCGAGTCTGTCTCCTTTCTCACACAGATAATAGTCTGGTACTAATCCATTACTGTGAGGAAAAGAGGAAAGTGGCTGCAGTTGCACAAAGGGTCCCCAATTCCACATCTGCGGGGAGAAAAGGAATCAAACAGAGCTCCAAGATCTTTGCTTCTGCCTTTTCTTTTTTTTTTTCTTCCTCCTTTTTCTCCT